CCATATTGATACTCTGTGAAAAGTTTCATTTGCCTTTTTTTCTCCGTTCGTAAAACCACTCTCCCAACTTTTCTTGGATGAAATCTAACATTCTTAAATTAGGCATTTCTCTCCCTTTTAGTAAAACAGAATTCATTGATTCTACCATGTTTGTTGTTAGCATATCATAATGTCGCCGTGGGAACCACGATCGAGCCCATATCTCAGGAGGCTCTTCCATTATGTAATTGTATGTTTTCTTGTCAATACTTTTGAGTTGGGACATTAACTGATTAAAATCTTCACGTTTGTATGACCTTGCAGCACTTTGAAAAAGATTTATTACCGTGGCTTTTGCATATCTTTGCTTTAAATTTTCTCAAAATGATAGAGGCAGATACCATGGTGAGCTTCAGGAAAAACTTTTCTAATCCCATTTGCGATCGATTGGTTTCTATCTGACAAGAAAACTAGTTCACAACGGACTTGAATTGCTTTTCTCATTTCCCCGAAGAACCAAATGTATGCCTCATTGTTTTCTGAATCTGCTACACCAAAACATAAAGGAAAGATTTGAACGTTCGCATCCTTTGATACAGCAACAAATAGAACACCACGATATTTTGACTTTAAAAATGTTGCATCTACTGCAATAACAGGTCTACAGTAGGACCAACCAGCTACTGATGTCGCAGGAGCAAAGAACATGTAAGCAAATATGTACAATGAAACACAAAAATAAATCATAAGGTGTGAAGTTTTTCAAATAGGAACATTTGAAACTTCAGGCTGATGGTTAGTATTGTTTTGCTTACCTATTCTGCGCATCTCTTTTTATGCTTGTGTACGTTCCTGGATTTTTGCCCACCATCATGTGTAGGTATGAAGGAAGAATCTGGTAGTTCTCTTCAGGTGTTCCCCTTATGCAAGCAATAGCTTTTTGAATAGCACGCCATGCCTTGTGATAACCAATGTCAATTCCAAATTTCTTTTTCATTTCATTTTCTACAAAGGCTGGTGTAACCTCTATCTTTTTGTCTCGAACATGTTCTATAATTTGTTCACTTATAAAATTTGATGTAGCATGCTTCTGATCTGATTTTCTTGCATCAACCGAGCATTCATGGATGTTATGATATTTTATCACCCTGAATAGTGTGGAATTTTTTATTCTGGTAGCACGTACATTCCAACCACATTTGTCCACGATGCATTTCAGCTCGTATCTCTTTGAACATGATCTAACAGCAGTGAATTCAACTTTCTGGTTTATCTCCAAGCTGCAGAAAAATTTAGTCATGTTTTGTTTGTTCTCAAAAATTGATCCAACTCTTACTTCCTCAGGCAACGCATCGTGCCTAAGTATTTTACATGGTGGAGATTCTTTCAGCTTTCTCCTCACTCTTTTTCTTGATTTCTGAGAAGCACAAGAACTTTCAGCAATTTCTTCAATTCTATCTGATGTTATCGGTATAAGCTCCATGTTTACTTCATCTTCGTTGTTACTTATCACTGGAGAAGGTAACAAAAAGCTTTGTTGGATTGTGTGTTGGTTGTCAATTTGCATTATTAGCTGTCCTTCCTCTTCTTGGTCATCGACAAACTGGTATGAATTTATTGGAGGAGGGGGTAATTGTTGCAGCATTATATATTCTGAAGCAGCTGTAATGTTAGAAGGTTGTTGCTCGTTGTCTACTTCCATTATTGGTTGTCCTACTTCATGTTGATAATCAGCAAAAGGTTCTGAATCTATCGCATATGCAAGCGATTGTTTGAATGCTGCAGATTCTGAAGGATGTATTTTTTCGATGATGAAATGGCAATTCTTGTAGGGTGAATCAGTTGTAAGCAAATGTATACAGGTACTGAGTTCTTCATCTGAAGTTACAAGCATTCCTTTGCTTGTATTTAGTTTGATATCAAACCATACTTTTAGTGCATATCTGGTTGAATCAATATTTGCAACTTCACTAATTTTCTTCAGGAAAGTATTGAATGATATGTGCTTATTAAGTAGAACAAGTTTTGTATCATGATCCAAGTAATAGAAATCAGGAGTCCAACTCCCATTGAAAGTTATAACAACACAAATTGAACTCATCCTGCAGATTCATGTTTAGTGGCAAGTTAGGAAAGTGAACAGAAGACTTTTTAGGTTGTTTGTGCTGAAGTTTTTACAAATGAACTAAATCACTTAGGCATCTTCTGCTGAATTTTTTTGGAAAAAGATGTATGACATAATTAATGAATGTTGCACAGAAAACTTCAGCTTATTAAGTGCAGAAGTTTTTAGAAATAAGCTTAATAACTTCAGCATATCAGCTGAAGTTTTTTTGAAAAAGCTGTATGACAGGGATTCATGAATGCAGGGAAAACAACTTCAGCTCATTAGGTGCTGAAGATTTTAGAAATGAACTAAATAACTTCAGCACATTGGGCTGAAGTTTTAGCAAATGAATTCAACAAATTTGAGCATGTTTCAGCATTAATTGCATAGTATACAGGAGTAACCTACACAATTAAAGTAGTANTATACAGGAGTAACCTACAGAATTAAAGTAGTAATTATATTGCGTTGGGGGTATGTGTTAGAGTAATAATTACTTTCCTATCACATTCATGCACGCTTTTCATTAGACAACGTTTAAAATTCCTCTTTGCCTTTTCATATACCATGCAGAAGTTTTTTCCCCTATATAAGCCGCTATTCCTTGTGAGTTTATTCACTCAAACACATATATTTTAGCAAACATAAAATACAAAAAGGAGAAAAATGGATGCTGTCATCAGACAAATAGTGGAAGAAATCAAGCAAGACATTATAGAGGCTTTTGAGCTGAAACTGGATGAGCTCATAGACAAGTACGACCGGGAGCTGGAAGAAATTAACAACAAACTTGATACGCTTGTGATGTATGCAAGATTTGATAATCTTGTCCATCTCCTTGTCCATCTAGTAGTGACGATGATGATGATGATGATGATGATGATGATGATATGGACGATTAGTTTTTTTTTTGTTATTTATGTTTATTTTGTTATTTATGTAATTTAATTTATCTTTTTTTATGTTTAATGAAATATTTAGTTTTTGTTTTAAGTTTTTTCTGCATTTTTTTTAATATTAATTCTATTCAAAGTCAAAAAATAACAGAGGAAATGAACTATATAACTTCAGCAGGAATTAACAAAAACTAATCCGAATATTAAGCATTTTTTGGTATGAAGTTTTTTCAACAAATTATAATAAAATACACAGTGCTTGATGAAAACTTCAAGCATAAAATAAAAATTCTTTTTAAACTTAGAAAATAATAAAACAATTAACGAAAACTTATCCGAAAATTACATATTGCACGACAAAATATTAAGCATTTTTAGCAGATGAACTAAAAAAACTTTAGCATACAAAAAATTATATGAAAAATGTTTTACATATTCCTGAAACATAAGCATTTTTTGGTATGAAGTTTTTCCAAAAAATGATAATAAAATACATAGTGCGGGAGGAAAACTTCAGCTCCATTAGTCGAAGTTTTTACAGATTAACTAAAGAACTTCAGTACCTGTGCTGAAGTTTTTTGTGCAATATAAAATTTCAATTTATGTTTTATTTTTTACCCAGTGTAGGAGGAAAACTTCAGCTCCTCCTGCTGAAGTTTTTAAATACTAACTAAAAAACTTCAGCACCTATGCCGAAGTTTTTTGTGCAATATGAAATTTTAATTGATGTTTTATTTTTTTTACCCAGTGTAATAGGAAAATTTCAGCTCCTCCTGCTGAAGTTTTTAAATATTAACTAAAAAACTTCAACACCTATGCCGAAGTTTTTTGTGCAATATGAAATTTTAATTTATGTTTTTTTTTACCCAGTGTAATAGGAATATTAACAAAAAAACTTCGGCACCTATGCCGAATTTTTTTGCTCATTGGTGTTTTAAATATTAAAACACTCATATAATGTTTTAATATAATTTTTTCTTCATTGTGTTATTTGCCAGCTCGTTTTGCTGAATTTTTTAGATATGAACTAAATAACTTCAGCTTGTTTTAGCATATTTGTCGGATTAGAATGTTAGAATTCATCGTCAAACAGATTTAGAATGCAAATTCAGCATATCAGTGAAGTTCGTCAAACAACTTCAATCAATCAGAAAACATGTAATTCAAAAACTATTTTGAATTCTGAAGATGAATTTAAATACTTACAATGTATTTTGTAATTTTGAATTTGGAATTTGAATCCGGTTCAAATCTGGTTTGTGAGAGGCGATCTCAGGAGAGACGGACTGATGGAGGAGATACGGAGAAGATCTGGAATTTGAATCTGGGTATGCTTGATGCATCTTTTATATGTGTTGGAAGGGCTATAATGGTCATATTATTACGAATTTTTTGTTAGTTGGTTACAAAATCAATAGTTTTTAAAAATAGGGTATAGGTTAAAAGGTGGCATAAAAATAGGGTACGACTGCAAATCCCCCATTATATTTTACGTTGGACAAAACTGTATTACAATTACTTTCTTAATTTTTAGGACGGTAGAATAGCCTAAATGACACTTATACTTATGCCACGTTGTCATACCGGTCTCCAAACGCTCGATGGCCCAATACCACGTGTATAATAAACTTATTTGCTTTCTCAAAAATAAGGTTTTTTTTATAGCTACATTCTGAGTGATTTTTTTTTTTTTTAATCAGACTAGTCATGTTGTCATTCTTCGTGATTGCTAAAACGGATATATGTTAATTGAGAGGTCATTATGGAGCTTAAGGTTAAGGGAATTGTTTGTACGTCGAAGTTGAATTAAAAAGTAAACAAAGGTCAAAAGACATAAATATGTATGATAGAATACCGTTCGTCATATGTGTGGTATACTGTTTTGTACCGTAGCTTGGTTATGGCTTTCTACTTGTTCACCTGGAGATTAATATACTTCTTAATTACCCAAAAAAATTGAATGTCTTAAACCAGGTTCATAAAGAAATCCCACAAGACAAATGAAGGAATGCCAATTATTGAAGAATTTGGGAAATGTTATCTTTATGGTTGATTCCAATATTTGACTAGAACTCTTGCTCTGAGTAAAGGGTAGTTCTTCAGTATAAAACACGACTCAATTACAATATTCGGAAAAAATTCAAAAATTGGAAAAAGAGAAGCAATGAGATGAAAGAATTGCTACATAAATAGTGTAAAAAGGGCAAAAATATTCTTTCTGTGCTGTAACAACTTCTGAAGCAAAGCGCTCCCTATTCTTCAGCTTCCAAAAATTATAGTTTCATCATTTTGAGCACCATATTATCCATCAACAAGACGACCAAGATTCAAACCTCATCGCGCAGCTTGTGGCCTGGTAAAATCAAAATATAGTCCACTTTACAATAAATCATATAAAAGGTAAAAGAAAAGAAATAAAGAAGAAGAAAAAGCTCGGAAAGAAAATACAGATGAGAAAGAAACTCGCTTTTACACATCACTATGACATAGTTGTTAGTCTTTTCATCAGAAGTTTTAAGAGAATTACCAGTGTTAAAAAGGACTGGACAATCATTGGATTGGTGAAACTTTTCATTTGCAGAATATCACTTCCTCACGAATGGTTTTTGGCATACAAGTAGTCGCTGGTCACTTCCGTTCTGGAGGTCGATCACCCTAGCTTCCCAGCGGATTTGGGCAGCTAACGTCCGTGCTTTCTCTATGGGACCCAATGTATCAGAAAGAATAATCCATCCCTGCAATAAGTATTCTTACAATTCAGTGCAAACTGCATGTTCAACTGAAGGTGCTATGTCGACAAGACTAGGAAAATAAGAGTATCCAATTGAGAAAAAACAAGCTACCATTTGAAGAAAGAGTAAAGCAAAAAAAATTCAAAGAGAAGAGATAGCAAAAGAATATTACCTCGGGCCTTAAAATACGATCCATCTCCAAAAGTAGTTGAAACATGCTGCATTTTTGTGAAACAATATGGGAAAGGAGCTCATTCGCATGGAGCAAATCATATGTTCGGGGATATGTTGGAAAAGGTTCGCACCTGGTTAAAATTTAGAACAACATTAAAATCAATCACCAGAATATTTCAAGCATAGAGCAATAAAAGCAGTTCAACATGCTTTATGAGATATCAACTGAAAACCACGACTGCTATTTCAAGAATATATCCGGGTGAAAATACAGGTCAAGCCTCTAATGGTGCTGCCTTTCTGATGTTATTTCTATTCTTCTCCTCTAATGGTGCTGCCTTTATCTATTACTATTAATTTTCTCTTCATGAACCATATAATGACATGCCTTTTCTTCATAAAGGAAGCTGCAATTCTTCATAAAATTATAATTGCTTCCACTATACTAATATGAAACAGGAAATATATAATAAAATTTAACTATCAAGCAAATTAAAGAAAATAAGAACATCCGCGTCCATACTCTGTAACTTTAACATATTCACCACATCCAAGCACATGTATATTTCAAGTCCTTTTTACATTTATAACCATATCTCACCAGTTATGCAGAATACCGGCAAAACCTCGATCAAGAATGAGTGGAAGCGTATTACGCGCCCCAAGAGGCACAACATTCATCACCCAAACCGCTTTGCTTGCCTCCATCAATGCAGCACTAAGACCGCCATAATGAGCATTCATGTCCATGACATTCCGTACCATATTATACGGAGGCAATGGATCATCATCACCTGGCCTTTTCGGATGGTCAGAGAAAATTAAGGGTGACAGCAAAGACCAATAATTTCTCAAAGCTAATTTCCAGAAGTCTGAATCCTCAAAGAAATCATCAGGATGGAGCCCTATCACAAAGCAAAAGATTGGTAAGAAATTGACTGCTAAAAATAAAGGGGCAAAATGACCAGAAATTGGAGAATGAAGATAAAAAGGAAAATGTTGCAATGACCAATTTTATTTTATCTTTTACGAAAAAGAGAACACTCACCATGAATTTCAAGCTCAGTGGAGTTCAGAGGATCAGATTTGCTATGAAGTGGAACCCACCGGTGACTGGTTGTCCCGGATATACAACGTGCGAGTGGTTGGTAATACAATTGCATATCATTTCCTTTACAAACTGGTATATCACCCTGCCTGCTACATTTAAATGCAAATTCTCATCGCATAAAGGTACAACTGTAACTTAAAAGGGAACGAAACACACGAACATTAACACCTGAGCATAAAGGGCCTTTTCCCTTTGGTATAGGGATAGGGGCATATAATAATTTATAAATAAGTGCACAAATGGAAACAGCTTCAAACCTATCCATGAACATAACAGAAACAAAGTATTTTATCAGAACAAAAGCACTTCTATTTACACCATTAGGAAAGTCTTAATGGGGTGTATGTAGGGGGGCGGTGGAGGAGAAATTCTTTTAACAAAACATAGCCTCCTGTATCGTATCCACACAGAAAAAAGAAGTCTTCTTTAATAGGTATTCTGTCCAGAGTTGAAACTCTACAGTCTACAGTACTTCCCATCTTTTTTTGTTCTTGAAAATTAGGTTTTTCTAGTATTGAATTAATTAGTCAGAAGCAGCTTTTCAGAAAAATGAGAAACCGGACATAGTGAGTAAATGAGCACATGCATTAGCTATCTCAGTAGCCTTACCTGGATGTATAACACTGAGAGTCAACTGTCTTCTGCCAAATAAAGGTCTCTTCTTGTTGTGCCAAAAGAGACCAACAGAGCTTCTTAGTGAATTCTTCCAATGGACTAGACGTGCTTCCCTTCTTTGCACCGGTAGAACTATCCTGTTGCCGGGTTGTGGGTGAGGTTAAAACAAAGTAACCTCCGGGCTTGAGTAAACGATCAATTTCAATAAGAAACAGCCCATCTGTTTTGTCAAATCATCATTAGATTCATGCTATTAAATTATTTTCACGTGTTAACAGGACTAGTATGGATATTTAAATGTTTAGAAGGCAACCCGATATCTGAAATTGTTACATCACGATAGTTGAAAGAGCAAAAGAATATGCTTTTCATTTTCTCTACAGGAAAAGTGAAGGAACAAAATCAACTATAGACTAGAATGCACCCATAAGTAAGAAACTGGTGCTAATTTAAATGAGAAATATGTATTTAGCTCCAGCACAGCAGTAAAGGCCAATAATCCCACACACACGATGGTCTTAGCTTCAGGTCAGCTGCCAGCAGCTTCAGCGGAGGTGAGACAGAGCCAATTTTGAATTTAAAAAGAAAATTGAAGCAGGACACTAACAAAAATCTCGCTGCATAGGCAATATGAAGCAACATTAATCTATTTGGAAACCATGTTAAACAATGTCGGAGGCCAATTATAAAACACATGGGACGGAGTATGTGTAAGTTTAGCAGTGAATTCGCCAACCGACATCATTAAATAGACATAAAAATGAAGTAAAGATCAGTTAATACATGGAAAATACAAATATAATATGTTTAATCACACATAAATGACTGATGGAAAACCATACTTTTTCAAATTCACAACTGCGGCAATACCTTTGCTGTCCCAAATGATTCCACACTGAGCACAGTGAACCATGTCATAGGACAATGATGGAAATGGAAGCTGTTTAGAAATAAAATTGCCGATGACTGCTGGAAGTCCTCTCTCGAGTACTAACTGAACTTGGCTACCAGATGGCTCATATGCTGCCACACAAAGAGCCATCAACTTCAGCGAGAGTAGGTGGGCACCAAAGCTACCAAATCCGCAACCAATATCCAGCACGGTGCTCACCTGTTATTTCATAAGAGAACGAAAATATATCTAAGAGTGAAATCTATTCTGCATAACATCATTCGCAGACAAAGCATTGATTTTAAAACCTGTGAACATACAAACAAGTAACAAATAAGGATGTGTTTAAGTTAAAGAAGAACAAAAGTTGAACTTACACCGGCTTGAAGAAGCTCTGTATCACTTCCCAGCCCAATCATCTCTGCGATAAGGTGAGAGTAATCTTTGACACCATCAACAATCATTCCATCCTCTGAATGGAAAGCAATTTGATTCTCTTCCAGTAACATTAGCCTGAAAAGGAAAAAAAATCAAATGACCAACTTTAAAGAAGGCATACAAATTTGTCTTTAAGAATCTATTACCAAAAATAAACCAACCCAAAAGAGGTAAAAACTTAAAACACGTGATTATAAACGCACTATTTGAATGATCATCTGAATTTCTCCAACTATACCTTTTTGTCATGCTTCCGGAAGAAAGGAACTGATCTTTGGTTAGCTTCACATTTCCACTCCATATGACATCCCTACCTGCTGGCCAAGTCAGCGGAATCTTGTAATCCTTAGGAGGACGAACCAAACAATCTTGGTGTTCCCGCGGTAACTCACAGTGACGATCAAATTCCTCCCCGTCTTTAAGCCCAGTTAACAAGTTTGCAGATACATTATAGCAAGGCACATAATTCTCTCTCTCCTTTCCACAAAGACCAACATCCTTTATCCGATTAGCTCCCAGAGAAATACTTTTTAGCTCTAAATAATCGTTTCTTGCTTGCTCCTTTAGCTTTCTATAATTTGTATAGATATCAGGCTTCGCGGAGGAAGTCACCGAATCAAATGTACTAGAAGAAGATGATCCTAACAATGCTATTAGAACAAATACACTGACCAGACACAAGAGTATCCAGTTGAGTGGCGGTCTAGGACCGAAAATTAATGATAGTTTATTGAGCAAAGGGCTTCTCATGGCCAAGTTTCAAGAATCCCTTTCGAAAATCGAGTTGAGAAGACCGGTAGATGGTAGCTATTGTTTCAACCTAAACCTCCAAAAACTATGAAAACTATAATATATCATCAGAGACCATCTCCCATATATATCACCCAAAATCCAAACAATTTCAACTGGCATCTGTTTAAACCACTACCTAAACTCAACATAAAGAAATTCCCCCAATCATGCCAAACTAGTCAAGATAATAATTTGGCAGAATTTCAATCCCATAAGTCTCCACAATCACCAAAATATAACAAGCAAATGCAGATCAGTGAAAAGCCCCTCCTAAAAGATTATGACACATCAACTACCAATTATCAAAATTAAAATTTTACACAATTCTCACACAGAACCACTCAAAACAATGCCAATTCTGAAACAACTCTTTCTATTATTCCCTTATAAACAAGCAATCCAAATCCTCAGATCACCTGCAAAAAAAAAACACCAAATTTGATCATAAAGAGAATGAAAATGAAAATACCAATTAAGATCAAGATTCAAAATTCTCAGCATTTCCAGCATGAGAGTCAAAAAGATGAAAACCCCAGATCAGATCCACATCCAAAATGTCAAGAGAATAAAAAAATCACATTTTTTAACCAAAAAAATTTGATCTTTACATAGAAACAACAACCATGAGAGCTTAAAGATTAGGGTTTTGTTGTTTGTACCTCAAAAAGATGAGTTCTTAATAATGGGGTGTAGAAATGTAATGTAGAGGGTGTCTCTCAAATTTTGTTATATATATGTATTTGTTATGACAGTTGCAGAAAGTTATGCAGAGTNTTGTGTTTACAGATCAATTACAGAAGTTCGCACATTGAGAACTCACACAATCTCATAATTACAGGGGAATAATTGTGCTTAATATCTTTTTCTTTTCTTTTTTCCTCTCTTTTTTCTTTTCTTTGGGGTGGTTACCGGCCTAGCGGGGGTGGGGGCCGCTTTTATTTTACTTTAATTTATCTATTATTCTTTTTTTTTCGAACTATTTCACCAGACTATTACTAAATTATAGTTAACTAATGCATATTTTTATCTTAATTTATTACTAAATCATGATAAATTAGTGGGCGTTTGGACATGAGAATTGTAAAACTTCAGAAAAAACTAGAAAAAAAATTCAAGTGAAAATGGTATTTGAAATTTAGATTTGTGTGTTGGATATGGATATAATTTTTGGTTGTTTTTGAATTTTGGTGACTGATCTGAAGTAAAAATTTTGAAAAATAGCTTTTAGAGTTTTTCAAATTTTCGAAAAATTCTGAAATTCATCTTCAAATAAAAATCAAAAATTTTATGGCCAAAAACTGATTTCGAAAAAAAGTATTTTTTATAGCTAAACGGCCCCTTAGTATGACTTGATGTAAATATTTGGTAGGGTAAGTTTTTACCATAATTAACAAGAGCTCCCCGAGTTCAGATCTTGAGAATGAAATTGACTTTGATAGAGAATGTTTTACCGAAGTACCGCTTTTTAACTCTAATCTAAATTAATCAAGTAAAAAATCCCAAAAAAAAATTAAAGAAAAGCATGAGGTGGATGCCTTTTTGAGAAGTTTTGAGGTATTGTTTATTTTTGGGGTCTATTTATCTATATACAGATTACTTTTTTGCTTTATGAGGTTGTTTTGATTTATTAGATAATTAATGAACTAACAATTGGCAAAAAGTATGTTTTACTATATTAGTCATTTTGGAGTAGAAAAAGGAAAATGTGAAAGTAGATCTAATAATGGTAAAATAGATAAAAGGAAGCAACAAAACTTCTTTAATTTGCTTGTTTCTTAAACTCATGGATTCAAGTATATGCATGGGAAAGGAAAAAAAAATAACAGTGTCTTATTCTATCTTAAATGAATAAAATACTCACATACAGTCTCCATTTAGTAATATTTAAAAACAATTTGACTAAATTTACTTAAACGTAATTAGCAGGTAAAACAATGCCAAATGGAGGCCAACTTTTTGAACTTTTGGCTGTATATCTAATGTCCTTGTCCACTCATATTATACAGCTTAAAATCCAAGATATTTAGATAGTGACACATTTTATATTGGTTTATTAAATTGATGTCGGCTCCTTCCCTCCAAAATTAATTAAATTTTAATAAGTAAGAATTATGGGAGCACTTAAGCTGACCTTACATAAAGTTATGAGACCATGGATATAATGATGGTAAAAATTACATAAAATAATTATAGTAGAAAAAATATTTTTGAATTGTCACTATTTATTGCACAATTGTTGCTCTCAAATGCACACGCAAGTATACGTAGTCGACAAGTAATATATGATTGTAAGTCGATATCGTACCCACAAGGTGTGATTAACTATCAACTAAATTAAACCAAATAATTAATCTATTCAAGCGAATCTTAACGTATGAATATTTAGCTAAAATTAATCTAGAGTAACAAATTAAAAGATTAAAGAAAACAAGTTGACGAATTATAGAGACGAATTCAATGTGAGTGAATATTCTAGAGCTATGGGTTAGCTAACAATCCCGTTAAGTGTTCCACTTAAATCGTCTAATTAATTTTTCCGATTTATTGGTTGACATGGTTAATATTGCTCGTAGCCTTCTCCCGAAGTACAACTCGCTTATTCAAGCTAATCTAACGCCTATATTCCTATGGAATTAGAAATAACAAGAACACATTAATAATTCCTGTATAGTAACCAAGCAAGGCGATTAGGTATATTCCTATCCTAACNATTGTATATTTGGACATTAAATGCTAAAAATGCAAACGATGCCTATTTTTGTAATTTTTTTATTTTTGTAAAACAAATTTAATTATTATCAATTATAGAATTAAATCCTACATGCAAAATGCGACATATTTTTTGTATTTTTTTATTAATTTAGCAAATAAACACGCACAGACAACTACAAATAATTATTCAAAATATCACAAAATTGCACACCAAAGAAAAATCATTTTATTTTTGAATTTTTGGGAGTAATTCTCATATAGGGCAAAAATCACGTGCTTACAATAAGCGATTAAAATATGCAATTATAGTCTATCATCAATAACACACCATTATAGAGCTCCCAAAAAATGCCCCTCAACTCAACTTTAATATTATTAAATCTGATTTTTTTTTTATTACAACTATAATGATAATGTGCAACGAAAGCAAAATGACAATAATTGGGCATAATTTGTTTTCTTGCTGATATACCGTACTTATTGCAGTATATAGGACCAAAAAGAGGAGCTAATACGTGTGTTTTGATCATCTCCGCAAGAATTTAAGTTATATATATACTAGCGATATCTTGAAGATTTTTTATACTATTAAAGTAACTTAACCTATTATAGCCCGTTAATTATTTTAATAGCTTACTGATCAATACTCCCTCCGTTCCGGTTTATGTGAACCTATTTCTTTTTTGATCCGTTCCAAAAAAAATGACTTCTTTTTAAATTTGGAAACAATTTACCTTAAACTTACAATTCTACCCTTAATGAGAAGCTTCTATAACCACACATAAGGGAGTTCAAACCGAACCGGAAAACCGCACCAAACCGAAAAACCAAACCAAACCGATTAAAAAACTCGACTAAGTTTGGTTTGACTTGGTTTGGTATTGAGTAAAAAAAACCCGAACCAAATCGACATATAAATATATAAATTTTATTTATATTTTTAAGACTTTAGAGTGATTTTTCTTTAGAAAATGTAGAAATATTTGGGATCCTCTCATGTATTAACCTTGAAAGCGTAAATTAACGAAAAATTATTGTTAGACGACTAAGAAAATAACTATCATGTGTTACTAAAAAAATTCTCCCATTAAAATATTTTAATAGATCATATGTTTGTCAATTTTTTCCATATTTACTAAACATATATTCACTTATCAAAGTTTTATCTATAATTTTAATAAAATAATATTCATATAACAAAAAAATCGGAAAACGCGAAAAACCCGACAAAAACGGACCAATCCAACGATATAATTGGTTTGGTTTGGTTTTGATAAAAACTGAACCAATCCTGTCCATGTACACCCCTAACCACACAAATACTCTAGCCCCCTTTTGACTTGTTTAGGATCACAAATTCCAAAAGTCTTCATTTTTTCTTAAACTCCGCGCCCAATCAAACAAGTTCACATAAGTTAAAATGGAGGAAGTATTAATTATAATGATTTTATATGTAACTATTTTATAGGTGACTTGATCATGAAAATATTTTTTTACATTATCGAATATAAAGCCAATCAACATTCCGAATTTGTCTTGATACAAACAGTTCAGTGGGTGGACAGCACAAAGAGAAAGGAAAAAGACCCCGCGCACGGGGCAAAGCTAGCATGTCAAATACAGGCTCAGTTGAACTCAGTAATTTTGGTTCAAATTTTATATTTGTCTAAATAAATTTATTGAATATGTATAAAGTTTTACTACTTTAAAATTTTATAACTTGAAAAGATCAGAATCTCGAACTCATAAACTTTAAAAGCTCTGTGTGTGCCCACGCATAGCTCTTGCCTTAAAGCACAAAATTGATACTTATTTGCTGATCCTTTTTGACCAAAGCTTTTAGCATAAGGAAGAGTAAGCGCTACAAATTAGGCAATCATATATAGATTGTAACTTTGTGTTTAAAAAAACAATATTTTGTAATATTGAAATAGAGACATAAAAGAAAAAGGACTCTTTCAAGAGAAAAAGAAGAAAGAAAAAAAAAGGAAAAAGAGAATCCTAGGTTAACCATCATAGAATCCTGATTAAAACTTATCCTTATCCCTTTTTAAGTTTTAATAATTCGGATGTTTATCGTAAAAAATGTCATCTCTTTCCCATTTCAAGACTAACTCTCATATGTTAATGTTTTGATTTAAGACGATTTCACCTGTTAATTTAGTCTATGCAACACGTTATAAATTTTTAGTTCTCTCTTTATATATATATAAATAAGGAGAAGACAAATATTACTGAAAAGATTATAGGTGGGATGAGACCTCGCATTAAAGTGATATATGGTGTTACAATCACTAGATTATAATCATACACTATTAAAAAACTGAAATTAGCGATGAACAACGTCTCTAATCTATTGTTAAACGCTCGTAGCTAATAATATCTTTTCATAATTTGTTGCTAAGTAGGATTAACGACGAATTTTATTGTTTGGCTACCAAAATTTTCCGTTACTATTTTTTTTAGTAGTGATATAAGTCTAAGGAACATGGGTAAAGGTAATACTTGCTTCACTGTTTAATTTTTTAACAAATATTATATTCAGTTCATCGGTTCTTTATCCTATGATCAATAATTGATTTACTTTTAAAAGTGCAAATAATGTTATTATAAAAGGTTGATTCCATAACACATGCATCACATAATGTTGGAATTGAAGAAAAATAAAGTAGAATGAATATTTTTTTATTTTTTATTTTTTTTTAAAAAAAAAAAGGAATGGAGGGGAAGGAATGAAGTTGGTTGCGGTAGGTTAGATAGCTTTTTATAACATTCAAACATGGATATAAAAAGAAAAGAAAAAAATTTATATTAAGAGAAAAAGAAGTGAAAAAATAGAAAGAGAAATCCAGGTTAAATATGATAGAGTCCTGATCAAACTTTTCTTACTCTATTTTAAGTTGTTAATTTCTACTTCTATTAAAAATAATAATGTTTATCTTATCCAATTCAAAGCTGATCTCATATGGTAATGCTCGTATAATATTGAGTATAGATTAAGGGTATTACTTGATTTTTTATTTCACTTCTGATGTCTCAATTTTTGTGACAATTTCTTTTC